GGGAGTAATTGTGCGTCATGTCTGGATTTGCAGCGTATGGTGAATGTTGGCCGTAAGGGTAAGTCGGGCTAGGTGCCGCAATGGACGGGTCTATAGGCACTCCGGTGTCAGAATGAACGGTATGGGCTTGATGGTTTCGCCCATCCTGCTGGGTAAATGACGGACTGTTTTGTTGCTGCGCCATACCTCCGCTGCCGGTGCCGGTCGCTGGATGGTATGAACGCTGGATATGCTCCTGGAAGGTGCCTGATCGCGAGGACTGAGGGTACACGCCGTACTCAGACGTAGGTGTCGCCGAGGTCGGATAGCTGACTTCTTGCTTGACGGGATACTGCGCACCTGACGCGTGATCTGCAGCCGAGCCTTCAGAATGATTGTCGCCGAAGCTGCTTGGGTAGGGCGAGGGCAAACCTGTCTGCGAGTAGTCGTGAACAGGTCGGTCCATAGAGGTACGACTAGTCCGGAGGTTGCGTAGAGTCGCCAAGTCAGTCAAGTTCAAGTGCCGCAAAGACGCTCCAAGATGTGCCAATCGGCCAACACCAGACTTGTCTATGCCGGTAGAGAGGGGCGAAAAATAGAGATTTGCAAAGTAGCAACCGGGAGGGAGCGATTCCGCGAGGCGATGTATAAATCGACGGATGGGCCGTTCACTTTCCGAGTGTCCAGCTGGCGTCTGAGTGAGGACGAGATTGACAGCCCAGAAAAAGAAGAGTAAATGTTGCAAGTAGCAAGTTGAAGGACGAAAGAGGGGAGAGTTGATGAGGATAAAAGTGATCCCTGTTCAGGCGGATATATGGCGTATGTATATACCCCGTGGTGGGTTAGATGACGGTTCCTGGTGGCAGGCTGATGGACAATGGCGGCAGCAGTGCAAGTCCGTAGTTGTACTGGTACTTGGGGATGGCGCCCGTGCAAGCGGCCAAAATGGAGGTTTATGGTCTATTTTCCAAAGGTTGATTGATGACACCAGGAACAAGACCGAGTACTTTTGAGACGGATCTCTGTCGCTGGGGACGGGGGTTCCAAGGATGTTTGCACACAGTCGCCCACGATCAGAGGATAAAGTCGAGGGGCTAAGATGGCTTTGAACCAGATTGCGGAGCGCGACACTAATATAGTGCAGTATCGATTGTGGACTCTGCCGAGCGCCCAATTCCAACTGAGCCTAGCGCCTGACTCGAGATGGGACCTGCTGGGACCTGCTAGGACTTTGCTGGGACTGGAGGGGGGGTGTGAACGCAACAGATTGTCTTCGGCGATGAACTCTGACCGCAGCAGAGAGTCAGTCAGGGTGAAAAACAGCCCGAGGTCGACTCGGGAAAATGCGCAAAACCGCTGAGGTGCGCAATTCACGTCAGAAAACCACAGATCGCAGGGCAAGCTTCGGCCGCAAGGCTTGAGGCTTAAAGCTGGAGGCGCGATGCTTCAGGCGTGAAGCGGGCAGGAGGCCGGGAGGGCACTGGTCTGGTGCGCTTTCCTGTGCGTCTGTTGCCTAGCTGTTGCAAGTTGCGTGCGTGCGTGCTCGAAAAATGAGAATGTGTGGCAGCGGCCGAGGCAGCGATGATTGTTGTTATTGTTGTGCAGCAGCGCGATGCGGGACCCGAAGAAATTTGATACGGTCTGGTGCGCTGGCGAGGCAAAAATAATGAACAACGGGGGACCTTGAGTAATGAAGAAGACAAGCGGAGCAATTGGGCGCGGCCCTCGGAGCTTGTGCACCAGAGGCTGCTTGGGATAAGACAGGACAAGAAGACGGTGGGCCGACTCCAGATAGTACTCAGTCAGCGACCCGACGGCAAATGCTCAAGGGCAAGCAAGTGACGGGCAAATTATGCTGGTGCCAATCAAAGACACGGCCTCAACCAGACACGGCGTGCAAGCACGGGATGCGCGCTCTTGAGGCCTCGCGCAGACAGGATGGACGGACACAAGAGTCCTCCTATGCGAGCCAAGTCTGGTGTTACGGCTCCGTGTCTCCAAGAAAATTAAGTCAACTGTGAATCGATGATAACACGGGCAGGCGAGAATTTTGAATGCAGAGGTCAATCAATGCATTTGTAATGGATGGCAAAGAGAGAGAGAAATCGGGCGGCCGACTTGGCAGAGGCAACGATTACATGTACGGGCCGACGACAGATGCAGGCTGCGAAGGGCTGGACCACCAAACACATCAAACATGAACAGCACATGAACATCATGTCGGGGCCACGGAAAACCACGACAGACAGACGTGGGGGAACCACACAATCAGAACAACGGATGGAACCCAGTGATTGGGACCAGCGGGAGGACTCTGGAGTGGTGGGCTTTTCGTCTCTCGTGGGATTTGCCTATTACACAATACTGCTCCGTTCGAGATGGAAGCAGCGGTATTGTGTGTGGACAGGGGAGGGGGTGTGAGGCGAAAAATCGGGTTATTTCCGTCGTAGCGCGAACCTGATGAGAGGCAGAGAAGATGCAAATGGCACTTGATGGCGATCCGGCGAGCTGGACGAGGCACGCGGGTTGGCACGCTACGAAAAGAGAAGCTGGCTCAATCCGGAACATGCTACAAATCAGTGGGTGATGAGTGACGCCGTTTATTCAGTGACCTTTATGTTGTTGATGATGTGTATGATGAATGTTGATGACGATGGCCATCATGATGATGATGATGATGATGATATGCTATTGGTGTTGTCTGTTGCTGTTGCTGCTGCTGCGGATACTATAGAAGGAAAGCCATGATGACGGTGATGACAATGGAAGGTGAGGTCAAGGCGGTGGCAGCCAAAATTAATGCGGCCGGTATTCGTGGGCGCGGTGTAAACCACAAGCGCGAGATCTTCAGCCCTGCTTGGTCATTTGTCACTGTCTCGAGGCCCTCTGGGATATGTATGGAACCAATGAATGACTCGGTCAGTCGTTCAACAATGACATCAGCTAGAGGGTAAAGTAAAGAAAAAACAAGGAAGAGGTAGGGAGGCGGCGTATCAGGAAGAATGCAAAAAGGAAAGAGAAAAAAACTTCGCCGAGAAGGAAAAATCAAGACAGAGCAAGACCTGCATCCTCAATGCGACTGGTGACTGACTGGTGACTGTTCCAGACGGGGACACCGATGAGGCGATAGAGGAGGTGAGGTGGACGGTAGCAACCTTGACTTGACAACATTGAAGATCTGGTCAGGTGCTGCCGGAGGAGCAAGAGCCCTGTGAGCCCTGTGAGCCCTGTGAGGTCTCTGTAGCCTTCAACCCCGGAGCACTGAAAGGGCTTGCAGTGCATGGTGCCAGCGCTCACAGAACGCTCGCGTGGGGGTGGTTGCAGTGATCCAACGGGGTGGGCGCACAAAGAGGATGGTGGGGCCAGCTGGGGCCAGCAACAACAGAGACCCTCAGTGTCCGCTCTTGCTGAGTGCTGATTCCTGGGAGAAATATCATTGATTAGTTTCCTGCCCCCCTGTGGCTCTGTGGCTCTTGTGGCTCCCTGTGGCTCCCTGTGGTTCCCTGCTCACGGAGCCAGACGAGCCAGGATGGCCGGCCCCTGCACCCCTGTAACTACCTACCTAGGTACCCAAGCACCTACGATACGACCAGACAGCCATACTCAAGTGCTACGTTGACCTAATACCATTGTACAGCCATACAACCCTTCTACCAGTCTGCTGGCTTCTGGGAGGTCAACTGCACATGTGGTCCTGTGACATTTTGGAGTCCCCCCGGCCGGCTTCAGCAAAGCCCGACAACATTGTGGCGGAGGGGCGTACAGGGTGCTCAGGTGCTTCGAGCAATCGCTCTCCACCCATTTGATCGAGTGTTGCTCTCTTCCTCCCTCCTGAGTCGATATCGACCGGGCCTTGGGCGTTGCTGCAACGTGCGCGAGTGGCTGCATAGCTCGTTCTTTTACCATCATGTCCGTGCCGAAATTGTGGCAATTCTCAGACTGCAGGCCGTGTCCGCTGGCTGACCACTATTACAGCCCTTTTCTGGTATTAAACTTTTTTGTTTTCTGGCCTGCCGGGGTGGGCGACTCAATCATTGACCAGGGACGGGAGAAATATCATACTACTGGCAAAACGTTGATTTTGACGCTGCTGCGAGCGTGTCATATCTCCAAGCTGCTATGCGTGTTGGCGTCCATGTATCGATACTTGTCAAGCCGCATTCCTTCATCCCCAATCAAGTGACGTTCAATTCAGACCCTCGCGAGAAAGCTGGAATGGACAAGTAATCGGTATTTCGGTTTGTGGGTATCCCCAGTGATACAATAAGGCAGCCAGAGCGACAAAGAAAAACGTGGATGAAGATGTCCGAACTCCTGGTCTGCCCTAGACAGTGTCAAGTGCTCTTATAAGAACTGGGGGCACTGGGCCAGCTCCGTATTACAGTGGATATACATACATACCTACCTATGTATAATGTTATATGTATGTATGTATATACAACATACATACTCCGTACATACGTTCAAGATGTATGTACTCTCTCCGTCGGAGCCGATTGCCCCGCGACCAGGGTTTTTTTATCCGCCGCGTTCGCACCTACAGACAACTTTGGAAGCTGAGACTTCAAAAGGTCTTGGCCACTGAAGTGGATTCTTGTTTTGCAGTGATAGCCGCCTGAAAAGAAACCCGTTATGCCTGGGGACACTTGGGTGAATACCTCTCATACCTCATATGATATGCCAACTCCAACGCCGGACAATCCGGTCTGTCTTTGTAAGGCGGCGCCATGCGGACGGACGTCTTCTAACCTTCCTCCTTCTTGAAAAGCAATGATGGCATTGAAGAAGATGAATATACGCCAAGCGGAATCTCGATGGCATGGTTAATCAAAGACCAGTCCAACCCGCCAGGCCTCCCTCTATACAATACATTCGCTTCTCAGTCTGGGAGCTCGCGGCGAAGGACAAAATGGAACTCATTCAACACACAACATTGCGCTCCAATCACAGTTATGGTGGCTGGTTCCACCAAAAAGGGAGACTTCAACAGCGAGGGCGCGGGGAGGGTGCGAGGCTGACTATCACTGGCTGCGGATATCCTTGCGAGCTGGGGTGAGGGTGTGCAGACAGAGAGAGGGGAAGGGGTGGTCATTGTACGGATCGCAGGGTTTGTATTCAAGGCATCCTGTATCGCCCAGGTTGATGTCGATGTCGTCGTCGGAGTAAATGCCCATAATGGCGAATTTATTCGACTGGGCATTGGACTGTGGGGGGCGGGCAGGAACCTTGACCGTTGGGCCATATCCCATGTTTCTTGTGCCATTGGCATTTCCTGCCGAATAGACCTGCTGCCTTGTCATTCTCGTGAACAATGTGAACCCGTCGAGGTACGAAGTATCCATTTTTGCAGTCAGTATTTCGCAGTGAGATGTGAGCGCCGACCGAGATGCTCGTCTTGGCTGCTAACGGAAGTGGAAAAGGGGGGGATCCAGCCGTTCAGAAGGACCAAGGGTTGGCTTGGTTACTTCCCCAGAGTTCCAACAACTTGGAGGCAATCAAGCAAGTTACCCAGGTAGAGTGCGGTGGTTGAAGACTGTCGACGAAGACGGTCGACGTGGAGAGACAAAGTCTGGCGCCATGATCACCGTGGCCGCGGTCTCGGGCACGTTTTGTCTGGTGTTAGGGCCCAGCAGGTCGGTTCACGGGCTCACGCTAGCCTATGTTACACAATCTGAGCCTCTCAACCTCGGTTTGTACTCTTTGCAGAGAATGGAGTGCCGGAGTACTCTCAACGGACTAATCGTGCCACGTCGTGTTCCTGGATCAGGATTGTGGAGGCGGGTGAAGGGTGAAGGGGCCAGAATGGTTCCCAAAGCTCTGTGTGATGTAAAGGTCCAACAGCCGCGTGGAAAGCCAATAAAGGCCGGCGAGACGAGACTTGGAGAAAGAAATTCATTGCCGATCCATCTGCTGAACGTCTGCAGGACAATCAATGTTTCTCGATTCGAGCCTCCAAGGCAGCCAGGTATTCAGCGACGCGAGTTGCGTCGGGTCTGCTGAGACAGTCGACAGGAACGCAAAAGTGGGCACTTGCACAATACAATAGGCTCCAGATGTCTGTTCTGTCTCGTGGTCAACGTGTTTGCAATTGGTAAATGGGGTGCGGTGATCTCAGTGCTCCTTACAGGAACGAGCGGCCAACCGCTGCCCTTCGCTTGAGCAACCTTTTTGATGGTGTCGTGCGTGTCTGGTCTGTCTGGTCTAAGTTGGTCTTGTCCCGCAGCTGAATTTCTGGGCGATGATCTTCACCATCAACTGAAAAGGGAAAAAAATATGGAACAATAATGAATTAAAAATTAAATGAAATAAGGGAGAGACGAGTTGGCCTTTGCCTGCGTCCGCAACGCAACCGCAACCGCAACGGAGATACATACATATTGTAGATAGAGTCCTAGCATCGAACATCAGTGGGGAGGGATGAGGCCAAAGTGCTGATGGCATGCCAAGCTCAGGCGAGCCACACGACTATCTCTCTCCTAATTGTTGCCGTCATATGTTGTTTTCATCTGCCAGATGGAGGCCAAGAGCGCGAGACTGTGCCATGGTGCCGTGATGGTGCCGTGATGGACAAACAGCCGCCACAGCGTCGACATGCATGCATAAGATGTGTGCAGGTGTCCACCCAAGACACGACGTGCACATGTGTGCCCTCCCCTCTTTCTTCCAGATGTCCCCACGGCGCTCCGTCAGGGCGGCCCAGAGAGACGTGCAGAGCTGCAAGCCAGGGTCAGCCACTTTTAGCAACACCCAAATTGCTCCAGGGCATCCACCGTCTCCAACCCACAACGCACCAGCCCAGTATCACATCACGTCAGGAAGAACAGACGAAAGATTGATGTGCCTTAGCCTGCAGAGCCAGAAGAACGACTAGGAGATTAAGATGTCGGGAGTCATCCGGAAGCGCGTTGACGGCAAGCCCACCTTGATTGATTCAGCCAGTTTAGACTTGCTGCTAGTCGAAAGACGAAAAGGATCACGTCCAGTGGCATCCGCGTCCTGTATAGTGACCTCCACCAGAGTTTCGAAAACGAAAAAGGAAAAAAAGGGCGAGGTGCCCATGCCCGTGTCCGTGATATGCAGAGATGACGATTTGTTGTAGTAATTCTCACTGCGTTGTTATCGACAGGTTTGCGGCGGGCAAGGCGGCACCTCAACAAACACCTGCCCATGTCAGCATGTGTGAGGAGCTGATTGCGTCCATGTCCAGATGTCAGGTCAGCAATCAACAACGGGCCAAGTGGGTCACGCCGGTGGTTGCGGTCTGCAAAGTTCCGTATTGTAGTTATGTGTCCAGCTAACCAGGGGTCGCCAGAGAAACTCGGACGCTCTCGACGAAACCGTATTAGTATAGCACAGACAATGAACTTGTCAGATGGCCAAGTGCATGCCCATGTCGGCCGAGGGCTCTTTACGCGATATCCGGCCTTCCACGATGATATCCACGATTCCTGGCTAAACTACCTCAAGCCACTTCCTGGGGTCAAGGCCAGACACTCTCAGCCCTTCATATAGTATTACTATGAGCAAGTACGGAGTATCACGCTGGATGTCCACCCAGCATCCCTGTTCTATAGTAACCATGCTCCCCTCCCCCCCTCTCTCTCCCCGGCTGCATCCCATCGCGACCTTGAGGATTGTCCAAAACAAGAACATGAGTGGTTTCAGTGCTGGGTTCTCTTCCTCGCCTGCCTCAGGGTTGCCGCCGCATGGGCGACATTTGTGCGCCATTCCTGGACTAGGTTCAAGCCGTACTAATAGTCTGCAGATGCGATTCCAATACTCAGAATGCCCCATAATTCAGATCAGCATCTCATGGTCAAGGCGGAGAGTTTGGATATCAAACAGACCTATGGTCGAACAGTTGATGAATAGACACAGGAAACAGAGAAGCTCTTGTGCATGTAGCCTTCAACCGATGGAAAATTGCTTGTAGATGGGGAAAATGCAGCATCGGTGCTTTGACCAAGAAACTGGAACAAATTTGAACGAGGCCGGGGCAAAAATGGGCGACTGTGTGGTGTGAGATGTCGCGCGTATTCTGAAATATATCCGGCAGAAATGTTGATGTCGCAACCGCACACATGGCACTCGATGCCGCGCTCGTAGTCTTGGACCATTTCTTGAGCTCGGACGCTTTTCGAACTCGTATATCGTAGGGCCGGCGCGATGGTTGATGCTGAGGTCGCAGTTGAGAACAAACAATACCATTATGTTCCTGCCGTGGATGTCTTGATGATGTTCGAGGCACCCCTTGTGGACAAGCACCAGACATTCTCACCATACCGCGTTGCGCCAAAACGTTCCAATGTTAAGTCGGATCGATCGCTCAGACAGCCCCACCACAAAGCCAGTGCCATCTTTGCACTACATACATACATACATAGCTTGCCACATACTCCGTACCGCGTACCTCATACCACAGAATCTTCCAACCCCCAGTTGGTAGTACTCGTTCCGTACAGCAGCCACATGAGTGCCTCTGTCGGGTCGACGGACGGGGCCTGGTTGACCTCTTCTTTTTGTCAGGTCTATGTATGTATAATTCATTAGCCTCCACACCTTATCCATGTCGCTCTTCGAGGAGTCACCCACCCTAAAACACAATGTCTTGATTTCCCCGGCGCGGCGACGTGCAAGTTCTCTTCGTGGTGCTTGTGCACTTGAGACATGAATGAAAACAAAAAAGAAAAAGAAAAGAAGAAAAGAAAAGAAAAGAAACCAACAGGGATAAAACACGACCTGGGGATGGGGAACGGGTGATTACGCCGGATAATGGTTGTATATCGTGCCAGCAAGTTGAAGCAGCGGCTATTTTTGGCGCCATGGGCATTCTGAAAGCTGATGAATTGACATGATCAATTTCAACGTTAACCCAGCGAGCGCCGTCAATCTAGTGTGGGCTGCTGCAGCCCTGCAGAATGCGCCGGCCCCCTCCCCCCCTTCTCGCCAACTGGCAACTGGCCCTTCACAAGTTCCCCAGTTTCCTCCAAGCCCAAATGGTGCCACGCCCACTTTGACTACGACATGCCGACCAACTAGGGAGGTACCAACGTACCTACTCCATTCAAGACACACATAGAGTAAGTTGCAGGCTAAGTTGACCTTGGGTACATTTATCTCCACGCTTATGCACGACCCAATCAATACATTTGCGATTGGGCAGCCTGGCAGCTGCAGATGATCGTCATGCCTCTTTCGCCTTGTGGACTCTTTATGTATTTATTTCCCGTGCAATACTGTCCATTGAGAACCATGGACAGAAAAGCAAATGAGCCGTGCACAGCTGCAATGGGCATGATACGGCGAGGCGGGGGCGGCGAGTTGCCCGAAGACTTCGTTTTAGAACCATGTTCTAGCCTCATTTTCAAAAGATCAAACAGGAACATAGGAATCCCAGATGACCGTGCTATTCGAAACTCTCAAGTGCTTCTTCGCGCACCACCAGCCGTCATGGCCACATCTGGGCTCGGCGTTAGCGCCCAAGGGGAATATGCGGAAGATCTAGAGTTACTGCGGGGGAGAGAAGAAAGTCGGCGAGGAGGTGCATGCATCAAGGTTGTTCGATGATACTCTCCGTATGCACATGGCCACCTAATGACGACCATGTTGACTGGTCGCGTCTGAATTCGACAAGACCTTGTCACCACCTGACATGGCAGACCTGACATGACAGACCTGACGTGACTGGCATGACAGATATGACAGGTATGACAGATATGACGGGCACGACAGGCACGACGGACGGACACGGCAAGGCATGGCATGGCATGGAAATATGCACGTCCAGTACGTTCCAAACTCAGGAGCCCTCGGCGTACTTGCCTCGAAACATACCTGCCTACATGTACCTAGGTCGGTAGCTATTGGACCAACTCTGCGCTTAGCCGGCTTTACCGCATGGTGCTGTGTCACGCCAAATTTCAGTATCCCCAAGACCGCATTCGCCAGAGCTGGAGAAATGATGCTGAACTCTTATGAGAACAAGGTATAATTCATTTCTCGACGTCGGCGCCAACTGCGCTTGTACCCTGCAGCCAGTTCTCAAGTCTGTTTATCGTAATAGAAAGCTTTAGAGAACACTAAAGGACTGGACATCAACGACTAGTGTCCACAGGGTCCACGTGTAAAGCCATGTCGGGAATTCCTGCACTGCACTGCTTGCATTGCCTGCCTACTTAAGTTCTAGTTCTTGGATGCAGAATACGGAATACACTTTTTGTCACTACGTGCTTTTGCGAGTTGGTGTCACTCACCCAAGTTGACCCAACCTGCATCTCGTCTCACGTGGGGTATCCACCGATGCGCGAACCCATCCATGCTCACGCCAACCTGGTCGTCCAAG